CTCCTGAGTAGCTGGGACTACAGGCATGCGCCATCATGCAAAGCTAATTTTTGTATTTTTTTAGTAGAGACGGGGTTTCACTATGTTGGCCAGGATAGTCTCGATCTCTTGACCTCGTGATCCCCCTACTTCGGCCTCCCAAAGTGCTGGGGTTACAGGCGTGACATTTATGGATGTTTTCAAGGGCAAGGGCTCTGTATAGGATCTTTGTGTGTGGTGAACTTTTGCACTTGCTTTCACAGGTGTATTTATTAGCAGGATAATTTTTGATGTTGTAGTTTGGGCCGAGTCCAGTAGATGGCACTTAAGAGTAGTGGCCAGTAGCTGCATTAATACCCAGTGGCGCAGCTTTTTAGTACTTCTTCGTGTTTGCAGGTGTGCTCTGAAGTAGGGATGAAGGAGTGGGAGAGATGGTCCACCTACCAGGTCCACTCCTGGGCCTTGGGGGAGCCCTCTCCAATGACTGGCACTGTACCTGTGTTTTGTTGTTGTTGTTAGGTGTTCCAGGCCACGGGGCCCCCTTGCACAAAGACTTTAGCAGGGAGATACGCCACATTGTTTCTGGACCGGTCCTGCAAAGGGAGGAAAGCCCCACTGCCACTCCAGCCCAGGAATCCATGCGTCTCACCCTTCTCCATACTCTGAGAGTGAGGGCTCCTCCCCAACTCAAGTGCGGGCTCCATACTCATGAGCGGTGATCCACAGCCCTGGAAATCTGATTTGTTCTGCAATTACCAGGAAACTATTCAGGTGCAGCAATGCACGCAGGCTGGGCTGCAGGGGCTGTGCTATGGACCTGCTCCTGCAGGGTGGCAAGGCATGGGCCCTGGGAGTTACTGGCAGGCAGGAGGGCTTGCAGAGAGGATGTGTCCCAGTCCTACTGGGAAGCTGGCCCTACTCTCTCCTGGCTGTGAATTTTCCAAGCTTTGATGTTCTGTCTCCCTTTAAAACGGAAGGCTTTTAAAAGAACCCACTCACTTCTCAAATGTTTTGCTGCTTAGAAGTTTCTCCCACCAGATACCCTAAATCATCTCTCTCAAGTTCAAAGTTCCACAAATCTCTAGGGCAGGGGCAAAAATGCCACCAGTGTCTTTGCTAAAACATAACAAGAGTCATCTTTGCTCCAGTTCCCAACAAGCTCCTCATCTCCATGTGAGACCACCTCAGCCTGGACCTTATTGTCCCTATCACTGTCAGGCTTCTTTTGGTCAAACCCATTCAGTAAGTCTCTGGGAAATCCCAAACTTTCTCACGTTTTCCTGTCCTCTTCTGAGCCCTGCAAACTGCTCCAACCTCTGTTACCCCGTTCCAAAGTTGCTTCCACATTTTCAGGTATCTTTTCAGCAGCTCCCCACTCTACTGGTACCAGTTCACTGTATTAGTCCATTTTAATGCTGCTGATAAAGACAACCCAAGTTTGGGAAGAAAAAGAGGTTTAATTGGACTTACACTTCCAGGTGGCGGGGGAGGCCTCAGAATCATGGCGGGAAGTCAAAGGCACTCCTTATGTGGCAGTGGCAAGAGAAAATGAGGAGGATGCAAAAGCGAAAACCCTGATAAAACCATCAGATCAGGCCGGGCACGGTGGCTCACGCCTGTAATCCCAGCACTTTGGGAGGCCGAGGCGGGTGGATCACGAGATCAAGAGATAGAGACCATCCTGGTCAACATGGTGAAACCCTGTCTCTACTAAAAATACAAAAAATTAGCTGGGCGTGGTGGCGCGCACCTGTAATCCCAGCTACTCGGGAGGCTGAGGCAGGAGAATTGCCTGAACCCAGGAGACGGAGGTTGCGGTGAGCTGAGATCGCGCCATTGCACTGCAGCCTGGGTAACAAGAGCGAAACTCCGTCTCAAAAAAAAAAAAAAAAAAAAAAACCAGCAGATCTCATGAGACTTATTCACCACCATGACAACAGGGTGCAGGAAGCTGCCTCCATGATTCAGATTATCTCCCAGGGTGTCCCTCCCAGAAACATGGGCGTATGGGAGTACAACTCAAGATGAGATTTGGGCGGGGACACAGAGCCAAGCCATGTCACTTGGTTATTGCGATATTCAGTTCTTTAATTTTTACTTGGTTCTATTTCTTTGCCAAGGCTTTGCATTTTTCCATTTCCTTCGAGTATGTTCAGATTTTGCTCATGGAAGCATTTTTATCACGGCTGTTTTAAATACTTTATCAGATAATTCTAATGTCTCTGTCATCTTAGTCTTGACAGCTATTGGTTTTCTTTTTTCACTCAGTTGGAGATTGCATTAGTCTATTCTTGCATTGCTGTAAAAAATACCTGATACTGGGTAAGTTATAAGAAAAGAGGTTTAATGGGCTCACGGTTCCACAGGCTGTGAAGGAAGCATGGCAGGGCCTGCTTCTGGGGAGGCCTTTGGGAGCTTTTGACTCGTGGCAGAAGGCAGAACAGGAGCAGGTGTCTTACATGGCAGGAGCCACGACCAAGAGAGTGAGAAGGCGCTACACACCACACTTTTAAAGCAACCAGCTCTCATGATGACTCACTCACTATCATGAGAGCATCACTGAGGGATGGTGCTCAACCTCCTCCCCGATGGTCCAGTAACCTCCCACCAGGCCCCTCCTCCAACACTGGGGATTACAATTCAACATGAGATTTGACAGGGACACAGATCCAAACCGTATCAGGTAACTTCCTGGTTTTTGGTGAGTAGCTTTTAATTGAATCCTAAAAACTTTCATTTTATATTATGAGACTTTGTATCTTATTTAAGTCTTCGTTTTACTTGAAATTCTCAAACACTACTCTGACAAGGAAAGGGTCACCCAGGAAAGGGGGGCCCTCTTTGTTACTGCTGTGTATGGGTAGGAGTTCCAGCTCCACATGTAGTTTCTATGATCAACCTGGCGGGGACGGTGAGTACTTATGGATAATGATGACAGTTCTGACTCTATTAGTGTTCTTCTGATACTGCCACTGAGGGGAGGGGCAGAGTACCTTGTTAATGCCCTTGGGAGTGGAAGTCCAGGCTGTCATGTGGCCTCCACAGGCATCTCCGTGGTGAGGGTGGGGGCGAGGCTGGTTACCAGCCAGAGTGAATGAATGTCCTGGCTTCCTTCTTGGCCTTCTCTAACATCCAGGGGGAGTGTTGGGACACCTCATTACGGCCCTGTGAGGGTGAAGTGTCTAGCCTCCCCACTTCACCTTTGCCGGTTTGGTTGGGGATCGTACCTGAGTTTTTCTGTGGTGTTTGGTTGGAATAGAACAGTTATTGTCTAAAAATTTCTGTCTTGCCATGCCGCACCTTTCCTGGGCTAGAGAAAGAAGCTTTTGCTGGGACTTGCTATATCTATAGGTCTGCTGGTGTTTCTAGGCCGCCAACTCATTCATCTCCGCGTCTGAGATAGATGAGGCTGAAGGAACATCCAGGGAACTCAGCCCAGTGTTGTTCCTCGGGTTCTGAGGTGCACAGTTGCTCTACTTTCTTCTCTCCCTTTTTTCAGAGTCTTCTTATGTTTGTTTTGCACGTCATGTTTAGCTGCATTAATTGTAAATTGGTGATCTGTAGTTCATAGATGGCCTCAAGGTGTTTTAAAAGAAAATGGTGCAAGTTGGAGTGGAAAGGTCTACAATCCCTTATCCAAAACCCTTGGGGACAGACGTATTTTAGTGTTCAGAAATATTTCTGAAGATATTATATATGATATGATAAAGAAATCATTCATGACATTTAATAAAAACAATAAGGCAGACTTTATTCAGGGGGCTACTGTATGGGGTTTTTGTAACAGGGAAGAGAGATGAGGGGCACTCTGGTTACAAGGCCATGTGGAGATTTATAGCCAAGGAACAGAGTGTGGGATCAGTGGACAGAAAATTACTGAGAAGCCGGGTAATTCTTTAGTAGACTGTTTTAAGAGGACATTTGCTGATGGCAAGCCGGGTGATAAGATAATCAGGGCAGAGTGATGAGGAATTTGATCAGATGATCAAAAAAGTGGGGATTTTTTTTTTTTCTAAATTAACTTGCAGGATTCTTGCTGCAATCAGACGAAATAGGTTAAGGACACAACTCAAGCTCAGGAACTAGTCAGAAAAAGGACTCAGAGAAGCCTGGCTCGAGTTAGGTCCAAGGAGAGAGTCTTTGTCAACATGATACCACTAGCAAGTTCTGGTGCAGAATCCCAGAATCAAACATCTTAGTACTTCTGCAGGAAAACATGAATATTCATACCAAGTTAAAGAAAGACTATAAATACCATGATTTCAGTTCATAAAACTTAGGAAAATCTTTTCAGGGCCAGGCCCAGTGGCTCATGCCTGTAATCCCAGCACTTTGGGGGAGCCCAGGTATGTGGATCTCTTGAGCCCAGGAATTTGTGACCAGCTTGGCCAACATGGTGAAACCCTGTCTCTACAAAAATAAGAATAATAATACATATATTAGCTGGGCATAATGAAGCAGGAGGATTGCTTGAGCCCAGGAGGCAAAGGTTGCAGTGAGCTGAGACTGTGCCACTGCACTCCAGCCTGGGCAACAAAGCCAGATGCAGGAATGAAGGAGGGAAGGAGAGAGGGGAGGGGAGGAAGGAGGGAGGGAGGAAGGAAGAAAGGAGGGAAGGAGGGAGGGAAGAAAAAGGGAGGGAGGGAGGGAGGATGGGAAGCAAGGGAAAAAGGGAAAGAAGGGGAAGGAGGGAAGGAAGGAAGGAATCACTTCTGATTTTGGAGCATCTTATGAGTTAGGGATCGTGAGTCTATTTCAATAACTGTGTGTTAGGTGGACTGCACCGTCTGCAGCTTGGCGACGTGGTCTCAGACCCCTCTGACTCCGGTTTATAGTAACTGTACAACCTCCTGCAGGCATTTGGGATTGCGTTCTTTGTGTCTTTAACCATTTAAAACTCTTACATTGGTTGAGTTATTTTGCTAGTGACTGACTCATTGAAAAATAGTTTACTTTAAAAATCTAGTATTTAGTTTAATATGGAAACTTCTCTTGTTAACAATGGCCTCATCTTTCCTTAGATGAAGATGAGGAAAGTGAGGAATCAAGTGAGGAGGAATCTAGCTTGGAGAGCGATGAGGATGAGTCTGGACCTGAAGATGAGGTTTTTGATGATTCTATTTGCCCATCAAGTAAGTTAGATAAAAGCCTTGTGTTCTCTGTGCAGTGTGACTACTGATTGGCAATACTGAGAAGGCCACTTTTTTGTCTGTTCTCTGATAATTCAAAGAAAGTATGATTTAAAATGTATGAAATAGAGACTAATGAATGCCTTTTTTTTTAAGTATAAGAATATTTACTGAACAATATTTAACTTCTATGTGCCAGGCATTTATCTGATGCTAGGGATACATCAAAATATAAAATAAACTCCTCCGTCCTCATGGAGCTTACAGTCTAGTGGAGAAAGACAATTAAACAGAATCTTAGAAAGTAGTACATGCTGTGGGAAAAGAAATGAAGGGCGTGCAGGAGTGAGGATGGAGAGGAACGTCGCCATTTCCAATAGCATGTTCAGGGAAAGTGCTAACCGATACTCTTGGGGGCCCCCTGGATGATTTATTATCTGTTCTCTTAGGCAGCCATTTATGAGTGACAAATAATATGCAGACAGTTGACAGTTGATTCAGAGTTATAAATTATGTAGCAAGTTTAATTTTATAGAGAAATGCCAGACTGTAATTTGCATATTTATTTTACAATCATCTCCTTCTTTGACAAATCCGTTGAGATTTTTGTGTGGCAAATCTTTGTAAGGGCGTTTCGACTGTTTTCCTGGAAATGGTTGGCACTTCTCATTCACCCATTTCACTGGTGAAACCAGTCAGGAGCTGCCAGACCAATTTCTTACAGTATCAGTAGATGAATGGTTCAGTAGAGAAAAAACAAGTTTTGGGATCTATAATTTGTTTTTCTAGACATTTCAAATAAAGCTTTAATTAAATTTTAAAAGTTTAATTTCAGATAAATTTTGTATCTTGTTTTACTTTTGAATACAATGGTCTTAAAAATCATAATATTTATGAGTGAAATAGAGCACACAAACCTTCTAATGCAACTCGTTTTATAGCAGCGTAATTAAATGGCTTGAACAGTGACTCACAGTATGGTGTACCCTGAGGGCTGGACCTAAGCTTCCGGGATTCTATTTTAGTATTTTGTGTCTTTATTCTCTATTACCTGGTGGATAAATGTGGCCCTTAGTGTGATATTGTAGAAACAATAGAGAGATAATGTACTTGAATCCCATTCTGTTATACACCTGTTATGTCACCTCTCTGAGACCTAAGGTCTTCACTTATATATGGGAACATTTCTGCCTTGTGGGGTCCATGAACATTGAGTGAGATAATGTACGTAAAGGACTTAGCACAGAGCCTGCTTCTGAGAACTGCTCAGAGTAAATATCAATGCTGCTATTATTATTATTAATATAATTATTATGTTATAATTATAAAATTATAATATAATTATATTATTGTTATTTAGAATTATTGTAAATCAATGCTGTAATTATTATTGTTAATATAATTATTATGTTATAATTATAAAATTATAATATAATTATTATATTATAATTATATTATTGTTATTTATAATTATTATTATAAATCAATGCCATTATTATTATGGTTATTGATTCTATTCATAATTTCAGCCTGGAACAATTAAGCCGTAAGTGTCTTAAAAGCTTGCTAGAGTCATCCATAAATAGACGTGATTGATTCTGAAGCTCTGAAGTTCACAGTTCTAGTACCACCACACTCCACAGCGGATGAGGCTGGTTTCTATTTCACTTCTCTTGGCAGATTGCGATGTGACTCTTTTTGAGCTGGCCCTTCAACTTCGAGAGAAAAGGCTGGACATTGAGGAGGCTTTAGTTGAAGAAAAGAAAATGCTTGATAACCTCAAAAAGGAATATGAGACATTGTCAAAAAAAGTAGGCTCATTTATCCTCTCAAAATGCTATCCATTCTCCTCGCTGTGATATTGCCATTTCATAGCAATGACAATGTTAGGACTTCTCAGAAAAAAGCATTTCAAATGTGAAGGCCAGGTTCGTGCCTCCCTAAGTTGTGGTGGGGACATTGCTCTTTTGATAACTGGAGTTACTTTAGCTCAGTCACGGGTCTCCAGACTTTTCTGATGCCATTGCTCTACACATGAAGAAAAAGAAAATGCAGCCCCTCCCCATGTAGTAAATGTGCATGTATTTACAAATTGAATCTATTTTGTACAGTAGGAAACATCCATAAAAACAGAAATTAAATAGAACAAGATAAAAATAAGTAGAAATAGAAACGCTGACATTTTCAATATATACCCCACTAGATGATGTTGTTGATTCTCCGGGCTGCATGCGTCCCATGTTGGAGATCACCAAGCTGAGCTTCTGGCATAAGATTGATGAATTTCTGCCTTAGTCTGCCTGCTTTCCCTCTTAGGTGCTCTTCTGTAGAGCAACATCATTTAACTTGATTCATGTTCAGAAATATTTTTGATGTATGATTTCTCCTCTTGCAAATAGGAAATGACCTGGAAAACTTTCAGGTTATCTAGGACATGAAGAATGTGCTTTAGAAATACTATAGTTAATTTGTTGAAGTCATTATGATCGCAAAACATTCCCACCGTTCTGTCAAAGACATTCCATGCTGAGGGCTGCTTTTCATGCAGAAAACAGGGGGACATGAAGACATGGCTTCTAGGTTCTTATTCACAAAACGTTCTAACTCTGGAGTCGTAGAAATGATGGAAAGAGTGACGTGGACCATAACTTGGCAGAAAGAAAATAATATGCATCCCTGAATGGCAAACTGGGCTCATGCACTTAATCACAGCCCGGCAAAGCAGATTCTGCTCATGCCTTACTTCCTCCCAAGATGCCCTCATTCGCCACCTTTAGGTGTATGTTCATTGAGTCTTGTCACTGTCTCACAACACTGGGCTTTCTACAGGTGAAAATCGTAGCAACAAATCTGAATGCAGCAGAGGACGCCCTGGAGGCTTATCAGCGAGAGAAGCAGCAGCGGCTGAATGAACTGCCGGTTGTGATTCCGCTCAAGCTCCACCAGGTGATGCACCCGGAGGGCTGCTTCACCCTGTCTGAGAAGAGTCATCACACCCAAACTTTTCAGGGAAAGATTCGTGGTTCACTAACGGGGAGAATCGTGGATCTTTGCTGAGAATTCTACCTGTAGGATGACACCTAAACTGTCTTATCCACTGTCAGATTGTTATCAGAGACTAACATCAGAACATGCCTGTTTCCCTATGGATCATGAGCACTTTAGAAATCAGTCATTTCAAGTTTAGAGAAATGAAGAGCCTGTGATTTAAGAATGGAATGGCTCAGAGGTGCAACCTTGGCTCTTGCACCAATGTCACTTTTCACACCATCTTTGCCTGTGCATGGACTAATGGTGCTAAAATGACCTTTGCTTAGTCTCTACTCATTGATGAGGGAGGTCAAGACAAAAGGGAAATATTTTCTCTTTTTTACTTTTCATATTCATTTCTACTTATTAAATTGGAGGAATACATATCATTGAGAGAAAGGCTCATTGTATTATCTGTTGTCAGGTTAAGAGAAAAAGCTGTATTTTAGGAAAACAACAAGATCAGCTCTATGTGTGTTTTCTGTAACGACCCAAACTGGATGAGCTCTGGGTAGCAGTTTGCCTAGTACACGAGTCTTGAGATGTTTTGTCATGTTGTTATACAGCGGATAATAGGCATGATCTGTGTGGGAGGATTTGCTCTCCCCACAGAGATGTGACTTGGCTTTCTCTCTGACATCTCTCTGTTTGCCTGGCCACTGTCACTCGGTGAGGAAGTTGGAGGAGCCCAAAGACGAGGAGCTACACAAGGGGCAGAGAAAGAAGCACACCTCTTGTGCTTTCTGTTGCCATACAAAACCCGTGTCTTTGTCTGTTTTCTTTTTTATTTTGACTTGTGTTATGCTTGTAGATAGAGTGTGTGGTATTTGGAGAAATACCTAGTGATCTTTCTGGGACTTTGGTCTTCTCTAACCATGCCTTGAGACGGCTGCAAGAACGAATCCATGAGCTCCGGGAGGAAACTGCCAAGCAAAAAAAGCTTAACAAAGAATGGAGAGAGAGACGCAAACAGCTCGTCCGAGAAAAGAAAGAAATGACAAAAACCATACAGAGTGAGTATCCGTGCCCACTGCCTCGCTAGTGAGGCTGATTGGTAAGAGAGGGACTTTTCCAGGCGACTGTCTCCAATTGTGAAAACAGTAATGCAGACCCAGAACCACTGAGAAGGGAAATAAGAACAGCTTTACGTCTTCCTACTCACTATTTCTCCGTTACCATGAAAAGCTCACTGTCCTATTTTAAAGGGAGAAATCTTCTATCATAGAATCATCTTCTCTTTGTGTATGACTAAAATATAGAATAATACAGTCATAACCAAGTACCCACTTCCCAGCTTAAGAAAGAATACATCGAGGTCCAGTCGAAGCCCCACCTCTTTTCAGTGTGATTCTGCTGCTCCTTCTTCAGGGCTCACACCAGCTATGCACACGTGTATACGGATGTGTCCACACGCAGTATAGAGACCTGCCCTGCGTATCTTTAACAGTGGTGATATTTATATAATTTTGTGGTTTACTTTATTTAGCCACATTTTGACTTATTTGTAAGCTACAGATAGTTTCTTCATTTTACTGCTACAATATTCCATTGTATGAATATTAAAGACTCTATTTCTTTTTTTCTTTTTTTTTTTTTGAGACGGAGTTTCTTTCTCTCTTGTTACCCAGGCTTGAGTGCAACGGCGCGATCTCGGCTCACCGCAACCTCCGCCTCCTGGGTTCGGGCAATTCTCCTGCCTCAGCCTCCTGAGTAGTTGGGATTACAGGCACGCGCCACTATGCCCAGATAATTTTTGTATTTTTAGTAGAGACGGGGTTTCACCATGTTGACCAGGATGGTCTTGATCTCTTGGCCTCGTGATCCACCCGCCTCGGCCTCCCAAAGACTCTATTTCTTTAACCTCCTATTGATGGATATTTAGGATATTTCTTATTTTTCGTATTTATAGACAATGTTACAGTAAACCTACTTGTGTAAATCTCCCTGTGCACATGTGTCAGAAGGTGAATCCTCATTCTGGATCTCTGGGTTACAGAGGGATATGGACATTTTCAGCTCTTCTGGATAGTGCCAAGTTGCCCCCAAAGGGGTTGAACAAATTTCTCCTCCCCCTGGCCATATGTGAGAATTGCCCAGGCCCCGTATTGTCAGCAACACTTGACACTATCAGACTTTAATATTTCTGCCAGTCTGCAAGATGTTAATATATTTCATTTTGGTTTTTATTTACATTTTTTTTGATTGCTGGTGAAGTTAAACATCTTTATATACATTTATTTGCGGTTTATTTATTTTATTTTCTATAACTTGCCTGTCCTATTCTTTGCCCATTTTCAGTTTCTATTTTTTGCTTTTAAATTGATTTTAGGGAGTTCTTAATATATTCTTGTTGTCCATTAAATGCACTGCAAATCTCTTCTGGTTTGTAGCTTGTCTTCTTTTTTTTTTTTTTTGGAGATGGAGTCTTACTCTGTCACCTGGGCTGGAGTGCAGTGGTGTGATCTCGGTTCACTGAAACTTCTGCCTCCTTGGCTCAAGCAATTCTCCTGCCTCAGCCTCCTGAGTAGCTAGGATTACAGGCACATGCCACCATGCCCAGCTAATTTTTGTATTTTTTAGTAGATTTCTACTAGGGTTTCTCCATGTTGGCCAGGCTGGTCTCAAACTCCTGACCTCTGATGATCCGCCTGCCTCGGCCTTCCAAAGTGCTGGGATTACAGGAGTGAGCCACTGTGCCCAGCCATCTTTTTTTTCTTTTTTCTTTTTTTAACTTTGTCTAGTGAATCTTTTGGATACAGATGTTTTAAATCTTAGTATAGTAATTTTTATCAATCTACTTAATTATGGTTTATGTGCTATGCGTGTGTGTGTGTGTGTGTGTGTGTGTCTTGCTTAAGAAATCCTTTCCTGTTTTGAGGTCATAAAGATATTTTTTGGTCTAGCAATTCCACTCCTGGGTATATATCCAAAGAAAATGAAATTAGTAATCAGTATTTAGAAGCAATATCTGCATTCCTATGTTCACTGCAGTATCGTTTGCGATTGCCAAGGTACAGAATCAACCTAAGTGTCCATAAATAGATACATGGATAAAGAAAATGTGGTCTATGTACTAATGAAATACTATTCAGTGTTAAAGAAGGAAACCCTATCGTGCTACAGCATGGATAAACTTGGAGGACAATATGGTAACTGAAATAAGAGGGACAGAAAGAAAATACCACCTGACATCACTTACAAGCAGGGTATAAAAAAGTTAAACTCACAGAAACAGAATATAATGATGGTTCCCAGGGTCTGTGGTTGTGGCTTGGGGTACAGTTTGGGGAGACGTTGGCCACAGGATACAAAATTTCAGTGAGATTCAAAGAACAATTTCAAGAGATCTGTTGTACAATATGATGACTATAGTTAATGCATTATATTCTTGGAAGTTGCTAAGAGTAAATTTTAAGGGTTCTCGCAACAAGAAAAAGGAAGTATTTGAGGTAACGCATAAGTTGATTAGCTCAATTTAGCCACCCCATAATGTATGTGGATTTCAAAACAGCCTGTTGTACATGATACATATATACAGCTTTTGCAGTTTAAAAAGATCATTTTCAGTAGTTTCCTAATCAGTAGTGCCCTTCACATTTGGGTTTTTAACCCACTTAAAATTGAAGTATACAGTATAAGATGTATAGTGTAAAGATAATGATCTTCTAAAACGCTTTCGTAGTATCTGATATGCGGAACATACATGTAAGTGGTGGAATATTGCAACAGGATGAAACCTGGGAACCCACCTCCCAGCCTGTTAACTATATGGCAACACTGCAACATCTGCCTGTGTGCATTCCTTCTGTCCCATCCGCTGTCTCCCCATGTTCAGAGACAACTACCCTTCCCAATTATGTTTAGCATTCCCTTTCATTAAAAAAAAGTTATAACATATTTATACATATTTCTAAATAATATATTGCGTTAGGACTTGGTAGAAATATTATACCAGATGTAGCCTTTTGAAACATACTCTCATTTAATATTATATTCGTAAGATTAGATGTGGGATAGCATATAGCTGTTGTTTGTTTTCATTGTTGTAAAATACCTGATTCTACCAAAATTACTTATTCTTCTGCTGACAGTGGACATTTAAATTGTTTTATATTTTTTTGCTTTGATAATTCTGCTATGAAAATTCCCGTACATGGCATATGTTTACAGGCATTTCTGAAAGGATAAGGGTTTCATATCTAAAAGTACAACAGCGGGTCATAGGGCATATAAGGGTTTAAACAGTGTTAACTTGTCTTCCGGGATGATTGTACCAATTTACACTCCAGCCAGTGGAACCTAAGAGTCCCCTTTCAGTTACACACATCATTGAAAAGAAATAATCTTGTAAGACTTTTTTTTGCAAAACTGGAAAGTATAAAGTGGTAACTCATGGTCTTAACTGCCTTTTCCCAGCCGCTAATAAGGTTAAACACATTTTGTATGTCTTTGGGCCTTTAGTGTTTCCTATTCTATAAAACGTCTGTTCATGTATTTTGTTCGTTTTTCTCTTGATTTGTTTGCCTTTTAAAAGTTGATATGTAGGAATTACTTTTTTTTATACTAATCCTTTGTTGCTTGTATGTTTTCCAAATATCTGCCTTTGTTTTTTTGTTTTCACTTTTATGGAGGCTTTTTTTTTTTTTTTTGAGACTGAGTTTCGCTCTTGTTGCCCAGGCTGGAGTGCAATGGTGCGATCTCGGCTCACCTCAGCCTCCGCCTCCCAGGTTCAAGCCATTCTCCTGCCTCAGCCTCCCACGTAGCTGGGATTACAGGCATGCATCACCACGTCCAGCTAATTTTTTGTATTTTTAGTAGAGATGGGGTTTCTTCATGCTGGTCAGGCTGGTCTTGAACGCCCGACCTCAGGTGATCCATCCTCTTCGGCCTCCCAAAGTGTTGGGATTACAGGCCTGAGCCACTGCACCCAGCTGAGGCCTTTTAAAGTTAATTAAAGATTTGTTTTAAATTCTTATTTTTTGTGGGCACATAGTAGGTATGTATATTTATGAGATATATCGGGTATTTTGATACAGAGATACGAAGTCTAATAATCACATCGTGGTAAATGGGGTTTCATCACCTGAAGCATTTATCTTTTCTGTTGTAAACAATACAATTATACTCTTGCAGTTATTTTAAATGGACAATCAAGTTATTGCTGACTGTAGTAACCCTGCTGGGCTATCAAATACCAGATCTTATTCATTCTAACTATTTTTGTACCCATTAACCATTCCCACACCCCCCACCTCACCATCCTTCCCAGACTCTAGTAACTATCATTCTACTCTCTCTCTCCATGAGTTCAGTTGTTTCCATTTTTAGCTCCCACAACTAAGTGAGAGCATGCAAAGTTTGTCTTTATGTGCCTGGCTTTCACTTCATGTAATGACGTCAGTTCCGTACATGTTATTGCAAATGACAAGATCTCTCACTTGTTGAGACAGGGTCTCACTCTGTCTCCCAGGCTGGAGTGCAGTGACACAATCATGGCTCACTGTAGCCTTGACCTCCTGGGCTCAGGTGATCCTTCTGCCTCAGCCTCCTGGGTAGCTGGGACTACAGGTGTACACCCCCACACCCGGCTAATTTTTTTGCATGTATGGGATCTTGCTATTTTGCCCAGGCTGGGCTCAAGCAATCTACCTGCCTCAGACTCAGAAAGCCTTAGGATTACAGGTGTGACTCACTGTGCCCAGATGGATCTTATTTTTAACGGCTGAATAGTACTCCATTGTCTACATGTACCACACGTTTTTAATCTATGTTTATCTATTGTTAATGGACAGTTAATTTGCTTCCAGATCTTAGCTGTTGTGAATAGTGCTGCAATAACTATGGGGGTGCAGGTATCTCTTCAATATACTGATTTCCTTTCTTTTGGGTAATTATCTAGCAGTGGATTGCTGCATTATATGGTAGCTCTCTTTTTAACGTTTTGAGTTAAACTGCTCTCCAAGTGGCTGTACTAATTTCCATTCCTACTAACAGTGTATCACAGTTTCATTTTCTCTGCATCCTCACCAGCATTCAATACTGCCTTTTTTTTGGGTAAAAGCCATTTTAACAGGGGTAAGATGATATCCCTTTGTAGTTTTGATTTGCATTTCTCTGATGGCCAGTGATGTTGAGCACCTTTTCATACACCTGTTTGCCAGTATGTCTTCTTTTGAGAAATGTCTCTTCAGATCTTTTGCCCATTTAAAAACTGGATTAGTGGCTATTTTCCTATAGAGTTGTTTGAGCTCCTTATATATTCCGGTTATTAACCCCTTGTCAGATGAATAGTTTGCAAATATTTTCTCTCATTCTGTGGGTCGTCTTTTCACTTTGTTGATTGTTTTATGGTGGCTTTTGATGAACAATAACTCTGATTTTAATGTATCAGTTTTTATTTTAGCGTTAATAATTTCTAAGTCTTTTTTTTTTTTTTTTTTTTTTTGCGACGGAGTTTTGCTCTTGTTACCCAGGCTGGAGTACAATGGCGCGATCTCGGCTTACCGCAACCTCCGCCTCCTGGGTTCAGGTAATTCTCCTGCCTCAGCCTCCTGAGTAGCTGGGATTACAGGCACGCGCCACCATGCCCAGCTAATTTTTGTATTTTTAGTAGAGACGGGGTTTCACCATGTTGACCAGGATGGTCTCGATCTCTCGACCTCGTGATCCACCCGCCTCGGCCTCCCAAAGTGCTGGGATTACAGGCTTGAGCCACCGCACCCAGCCTCTAAGTCTATTTTTTAAATTGCAGTGCCAGGTTCGTTAAAATGTACTTTTCCAACCGTTTGCCAGTGGACGGTCCCGTGGCACTAAGTACATCCATACGACTGTGCAGCTCTCACCAGCATCCATCTCCAGGGCACTTTCATCTTCCCAAACTCCACTAAACACTAACTCCCATTTTGTCTCCCTCCGCTCTAGGAAACTGCCACTCTACTTTCTGTCTCTATGAATTTGACTACTTGAGCTCTTCCTAGTGAGGAGGATAATACAGTATGTGTCTTTTTGCAACTGGCTTATTTCATTTGGCATAATGGCTTTCAGGTTCATCCATCTTGTAGCATGTGTCAGAATTTTCTTCCTTTTTAGGCAAATAATATTCCATTATATGTACATGCCACATTCTGTTGACCCATTTACTTGTCAATGGGCAATTGGATTGCTTCCTACTTTTTGGCTCTTGTGAATTGTACTGTGATGAACCTGAATGTACAAATATCTGTGTATGTCTCTACTTCCATTTCTTTTGGATATGTGCCCAGAAGTGGGATATATGGCTGGACCATATGGCTTAGAAGTGATGAATAACCCTGCAGTTGGCTTGCTGCCTTTCTCTATCCCTAGATCCAATGGAGAAGAATAGGAGAGCCTAGAACATGGGGGTGAGAAGGAGCAAGTTCTCTCCATTTTAGGGAGAGCACAGCTCATGGCCATGGGGAAGGTAGGTAGTGAGTGTTCCAGAAGACTTCATGTCCCTGGTGAGCACTAGTTGGCCTTGTCAGCTCAGGAGAAGGACATTAGGCTGGCTTCACAATGGGGCTGGCAAGGACCAGACTACATGTTCTGGTATGTGAGGCTGCCGTGCGAGGGGGCAACCCCTTGTATGGGGGTGGGACTGCCTGAGGGGAATCGAAGTTCTTTCTTTCTTTGTTCCTTTCTTTTTTGAGATGGAGTTTTGCTGTTGTTACCCAGGCTGGAGTGCAATGGCACGATCTCGGCTCACCGCAACCTCTGCCTCCTGGGTTCAGGCAATTCTCCTGCCTCAGCCTCCTGAGTAGCTGGGATTACAGGCACGCGCCACCATGCCCTGCTAATTTTTGTATTTTTAGTAGAGACCGGGTTTCACCTTGTTGACCAGGATGGTCTCGATCTCTTGACCTGGTGATCCACCTGCCTCGGCCTCCCAAAGTGCTGGGATTATAGGCATGAGTTACCGTGCCCAGCCGGGAATCGAAGTTCTTACTAAGAGAGGCCAGGCAGGTAGCCACAGGCCAGCACACGTGTGCACAGCATCCATTCATCATTCGATTTGCCTCACTGATGGTGATAGCCCCCACATTATACATGGCCCTGGGGCACCACCCACCTACAACAGAAGGTGAATAGCCCCTCCTGGATTGTGTACCATGGCAGCCATGCCAATCATACTATTCTAATTCAAACATAAATCCTAACAATTATGCCCAAATACAGATTTCTGCACTATAAAAGAATTGAATCATCTTGCTACATATTAGGGCCTTCAGACTTCGCTTACGGGACAGTCTGGTCACTGTGAAAGTCCTATTATAAGATTGTTTTCTTGGAGAGGTGTTCTAGTGTTTTCACACTGGGAAAGAACTAACAGAAGTAAAATATGCTGCATGTTAGATATCACATGCTAGATAATTGCTAAGAAGAAACATTAAAAATGGACTGAGAAAAAAGGTGCTGCGGTCCGAGGGAGACAGGGAAAGTCTCCGTGGAAAGGCAGCACGTCTGATAAGACATAGCTCTCCCTGGTTAGAGGACAAGAGCCTGCTCTTAGTCACAGCTCCAGTCTCAGCTCGCTTTCAGTGAGTGGGCTGGGAGGACAAGCCATGTGGATCTCTGGGGAAGAGCAGTTCAGACTGAAGGAACTGAGGCTGGGGTGAGTCTGGCATGTCTCAGAAGCACAGAGGAGGCCAGTGTGTCTAGAGTAGGGTGCTGGGGAGGAGAGGCGTGAGAAAGCAGCGGGGGAGAGAAAGGAGGGTAGGCAGGCCGACATGCAGGGCCTCCTGAACTCCCAAAGGGACTGTCATTACTTACTTGGAGTAAGTTGGAGACTTTACTCAAGTGCCTGCTCTATTCTCAATACTAGATGCTGTAAAGCTCCATATTTGAAAGAAATGGAAACTCATAATCTAGTTGGTGCCCGTTAGCAGTCTGAGGAGGGGCGGATCAGTGTGTAAGGCAGTTGGGAACAATGAGCCGGTTTCACACAGGATTCGGAAGGTGAAAAGACAATACCGAATTGGCGTTTTAAATGAGGAAAGCAGTAGGCAGAGTCACAGAAGAAAAATCACTGATGACATAAAATCTTTCACTGTCTTGCAAAAGCAGTTCCTTAGAACTTTACTGTTCCTGGTGTTCATTTATGACAATGGGAGCTATTGGACAACCTGAGCCCGTGACTGTCTTCTTTCAGAAATGGAGGAAACCGTCTGTCAACTCATGATCAGCAAGTTTGGCCGTGTGGTAAACCTAGAAGCCCTTCAGACGCTTTCTGTTAACACAACACTTGAAGAACTGAAGATCAGAAAGCTTCAGAAGGAGCTGGCCAATGCGAAGGAGATGAAGATGTGGGAGGTGAGGAGAGGGCAGGTGATCTTTGGTTGAATCTGGCTGGAGGCAAATTCCAGGGAGCTGGAAGAGGTACCTGTGAAGCGTCTGGAGCTGGTCCGTGGACCCCCTTTGGCTGCCCCAGGATCTTAGGCCTGTCTTGGCTTCCTTCCTGTTCACTTAGTTAGAGGGACTTGTTTATCTTGGAGTGAGAGCACCAGCACTAGGTTTTGGGGCCCAGGGTGCATATAAATATGATGTGAAATGGATGAAAGATTATGGAGAGATCTCATTTTGAGGCCTACATTAATGTATAAATGCTCTGCAGAAAAAAAAGTATTAAAAATGCTTGATATCACTAACCAGAGAAATGAAAATTAAAACCACAATGTGATAATGAGATAGCATCTCACACCAGTCAGATACAGAAAATGTGCTGTGTGTAGGCATATGTATATGGAATACCATGAATTACTGTGCAGCCTTAAAAAGAATGACATCATGTCCTTCGCAGAAACACAGATAGAGCTGGAGGCCATTATCCTAAATGAAATAAGTCAGAAACAGAAAATCAAATACTGCATGTTCTCACGTATAGGTGGGAGCTAAACAAGGGGTACATGTGGGCACAAAGATGAAAATAATAAATGCTGGGGACTCCCCAAGCAGGGAGGATGGCAGTGGCGAGGGTTGAAAAATTACCTGTTCGGTACAGGGTTCACTATTTGGGTAACGGGTCCACTAGAAACCCAGACCTAACTATTATACAATATATTCAAGTAACAAACTTGTACATGTACGCCTGAACCTCAGTTTTTGAAAAAGTTATAAATGCTCTGACAGCTTTAGAAATGGAGCAGCTACCCTCTCAGGCTCGAATTGTATTACTGATGGCTTTTGTATGCTCTACCAATTTGGAAATTATGAAACACCTCTAAGTAATAAATGTTGTAACAAGGCATAGACTATTTGGCTGACAGAATCTTAGAGGATATTAATGTTTACATATTGTTCCCTGAGCCAGGAGCCATGCCCTGGTTCCAGCCTGATTCAGAGGTAGGAGCTTTGACAAAGATCTTCTAAGTCCACTAATCATGATGACGCCTCCAGTTTCCTGTCTTATTTCTTTAGCAGGTGGGGTAGGAGGCGTGCTTCCTAGTGCTGTGTCCAGTGGCCCCATGTCAACTTTTCTAATCTAAGATGCACCACTGTAGTTTAAAGAAGCAAATAGTGTTCATGCCAGTGGGACTGGTCCCGATTAAGGGAATGCTGGAGACAGTATATGCAATCTAAAATAATTTTCTGGAAGCCTGAGCAATATAGTGAGACCCTGCCTCTATAAAAAATAAAATAAAATATTAGCTGGGTGTGGTGTCACGCACCAGTAGTCCCAGCTACTTGAGAGGCTTGGGCGGAAGATCACTTGGGCCCAAAAGCTTGAGACTGCAGTGAACAACTGATGGAGCAACAAGAAAACAAAAGGTATGGCCATTGTACAGATGTATGACCATTGTACAGATGTGTGGCCATTGTACAGATGTGTGGCCATTGTACAGAGGTGTGGCCATGGTACAGAGGTATGGCCATGGTACACATGTGTGGCCATTGTACAGATGTGTGGCCATTGTACACATGTGTGGCCATTGTACAGATGTGTGGCCATTGTACAGAGGTGTGGTCATTGTACAGAGGTATGCCCATGGTACACATGTGTGGCCATTGTACAGATGTGTGGCCATTGTACACATGTGTGGCCATTGTACAGATGTGTGGCCATTGTACAGAGGTGTGGCCATCGTACAGAGGTGTGGCCATCGTACACATGTGTGGCCATTGTACAGATGTGTGGCCATTGTACAGAGGTGTGGCCATTGTACAGAGGTGTGGCCATGGTACAGAGGTGTGGCCATTGTACACTGTGTGGCCATTGTACAGATGTGTGGCCATTCAAGCCATCTACCTTAAGGATCCTGGGCCAAGACTGGGGAAAGAGCAATGTGGAAAAGTTAGCTGCTTAATGTATCATCCTTCCTTTTAAGTGGTGAGTACCAGCAATCAGTATGCATTCAGTTTAATTCTTCAAGCATACAGTGATGCCCATCTCTGTCTTATTTATACCTACTCCTATTCTCGAGCACACTTATATTCTCATCTTTAATCAAACCAGGCCCAATGCAGTTGGTGCCTTTTCACATTGGCTTCTGATTATATTTTCATGTGTGCACATTGCTCCATTTGCTGGATGATTCTGACCAAATCTGGACACTCATTTTTTTTTTAATTTCCTCTCTTACTTACTACATCTATTTTGCATCTTTCTGCCCTGGTAGCAAAAAATTGCTCAAATGAGATGGGAGCTGATGATGAAGACAAAAGAACATACCAGAAAGCTTTATCAGATGAATGATTTGTGTACTGAAAAGAAGAAACTTGATTCTCGGTTGAATAAGCTACAGAATCAGCAGGTATGTTCTTTTTCTTCGGACCGTTTTTCCGAATTGAGGAAGCTCTGGGAAAGGTAGCTTATTCACAAGAATGTTAAGCATTTCACCAAACTTCCTTGATCTTGGACCACTTCCGGGCCATCTGCACCCCTAAGGACACTGAGTTGGTGTTAGTCACGTTACACTGGGCCTGAGGGACCAGGTTTATACAATGACTCTTGGGTGCCATGAACTCATATAAGTACTAATCAATAGAATTGCCTTGGTGCTGGAGAGGTGAGGTTACTTAGGTACAAATAATGTCACCATTATACTCCCTGAGTTTGGCGTCAAACATCTGTTTCCAACACTGTTTATTTCATTTGACCTGAAGTGGGCATCTTGAACGGTGAAGTCTACCCTGTTACCTTATTTAAATGCTTGTTACTTGGTGTGGGTTGCAACTTGCTATTATCGAATATTTCGTCAGCCTAACATTGCCCTTAGTACATTGTATGTGGTAGATAATACTTAATAAATATTTACCCAATCCAAGTCTCGCCCTCTAGGGACCTAACACATGTCTGGCATATTCTAAACTCTATGTTATATACTTACAATATTATCTGCCAAAAGACCAGCTGTTTCCCTTGGTCTTCTTTGCTTTCTGTTTTCCTTCAGCACCCTGGAAATGGTCTAAGCTAGGTGTTCTAGCAGTTGGGTCCCCTGAAGAAGAGCATCAGCCTCACCAGGGAACTTGGTTGGAATGCAGGCCCTAGGGTGCCGACCCAGTTGTACTGCTGCAGAAGCCCTTGGGGAGAGCCCAGCAGTCTGCACTAAGCAGCCTTCCCGGGGGATTCTGAAGCATGCCAGAGCTTAAGAATCACTGGTCTAAGCAGAAGTTTTAAAGTAAGAAGTCATGTTGTTTATTCCATGAAATGTGAATTAGAAAGATTTCGAAGGCTTGTAACTGAAGACGAGGTGTGAAAGGAAGACTAGAATTTGAATATTCAGGGGTCTTTTTCTACAAGTAACTTCTGAGTGAAAGATCAGGCAGTGTTTGACAAGGTTCATGCCCAAATCTTCACAGACTGAGCAGTCAGTCAGCATGTGTTGACTTGATATGCTCTGATCAGTCCAGATACACTGGAGAGGAAAAAGCTGAGAGGCAGGAGATCAGTTGAATGAGAGAGGAAATTACCAGTATCTGTTTCCTTACACAGAATGTGTTTACATGCATGGTCTCTTCACATAGGGCATCTCATTTAATCCTCAAAACACTACTTTCTAAAGCTCAGAGGAGTTCAGCAGCTTGCTGAAGCTCTCAGAGCTAATGCATGGTGAGGTTAGTTTTGAAACTCAGGTCTGCCTGCCTCCAGTGCTGACTCTGACCGTTGCTTCTTAACAATGATGTAGGCGTGAATTGGGACATAGTTGACCACAACAAAAATGTGTCAAATGTCAAAAGACATTTTAAAGTGAGAATAGCCCAAATGTGATTGGATCTGCCGAGAAGGAGGGAAGTTAGTCATTATTCAGTTGGGTACTGACTGGTCACCTACCATGGATAGGTGACTTCACAGTGACCAACTGGAATGACTGGGCATGAGTTGGCGTATCGGGCATGCTTTTAGCTGCAAGTAACTGAAAGCCCTATTGAGAGCCCCTTAAATAAATAGGAGTCATTTTTCTCACTGGGCAAGAAGTCTAGAGGGAGATGACTGTACAGGCTTTGGTTTGTAGGCCCTTGATGCCAGAGCCGGTAAGTCTGTGATTTTCCCAAAGTTTCCTTCAAAGTCACATGACAGCTGCTTCAGCTCCTATGTTTCACATCCATGCACCAGCCTCTTCAGTCCCTTTTATTAAGAAGCAAAGTTTCAGACCATAGCCACGTAGCTCCCTCTAGCTGGAAGAGAAAATGTGTACGGTTAGTGTTTAGCTTTCACGGCCTCTAAAATAAAAGTGAGTGTGTAAATTAGTTCAACCATTGTGGAGGACAGTGTGGCAATTCCTCAAGGATCTAGAAGTGGAAATACCATCATGACCCAGCAATCCCATTACTGGATATACACCCAAGGGATTATAAATCGTTCTACTATAAAGACACATGCACACATATGTTCATTACAGCACTGTTTACAATAGCAAAGACTTGGAAGCAACCCAAATACCCATTAATGATAGACTGGATAAAGAAAATGTGGCACATATACACCATGGAATACTGTGCACCATAAAAAAGGATGAGTTCATGTCCTTTGCAGGGACATGGATGAACCTGGAAACCATCATTCTCAGCAAACTGACACAAGAACAGAAAACCAAACACCGCATGTTCTCATAAGTGGGTGTTGAACAATGAGAACACATGGACACAGGGAGGGGAAACATCACACACTGGGGTCTGTTGGGAGGTGGGGAGCTAGGGGAGGGATAGCAGGGGGTAGCGAGGCTGGGGAGGGATAACATTAGGAAAAATACCTAATGTAGGTGACGGGGGGTGGTGGATGCAGCAAACCACCATGACATGTGTGTACCTATGTAACAATCTTGCAAGATCTGCACATGTACCCCGGAAGTTAATAAAAAAAAAAAAGGTGAGCAAGAGAGAAGAGGCAGAGGGTATTGGGGAACCCTTACTTCCTATGAAGGTCTGCTCCAGGACCTAGGAGTAATAGAAAAAGTATGGACTTTAGCATCAGGCAACCTGTTTCTAACGCTGCTTCCAGCTTGACCTGGCTTGTTAATGACTGAGTCTCAGTGGCCTTATCTGTAAAACTGGAATGATACAACTCGGTTCAGGGTTGTTTTGGGGATTAGATAAGAGAGCGTCTGCAAAGCACCCTCCACAGAGTGGGCGCCATGCAGGTATTACGTCTTTCCCCTCACATGTTATGTATTCACGCATCCAAATGTTACTGAGCATCTACTTATGCAGAAAGCACTAGGGCAGGTACCGCACAGAGTAGTGAGGCTTTGTTTCTAAAAGACAGGATCTAGCAGGAAAGGTAGGTATCAAACAAGCACTTCGGTCCTGCCGTATTAAAATGCCATTCTTTTAGATTTTAAAATGGTCAAATATCATAAATATTATATGGCTTATTCTGTAAACTGTAGTGACGTATATGTATAATGGATGTTTCAATAAAACAGAAAGTGGAAAATCCTAACCCAGTCCATGGGCAAAGAAGGTCTCCCTGAAAATGACGTGTGAAACCCAAGTAGGAGTCAGATGGACCGGGACAGAAATCAGATGAGGGAACCAAAACACAGGCTGTCCAGAAAAAGAAAGACACAGTCTTTTATTATTCCAGAGATGAGCTCTCTGATGAATGACTGACAGCTAGCTCAAAGTGCGCTCATCCAAAGAGGACTTCACTTGAAGAGTTGTTCATTAGTCCAAAGGCACACATTTCTAATGGCGAGATTTTAGCGGAGGAATTTAAGGCTCCGAGGAGTGAGGAGCAGTGGCTGTTTAGGATGACTGATCATCACAGACACACAGTACAAGGACATGGAGTTTTTCACATGCCAAATGATGCTTCAACAGGGCGGTGTTTTCTTTCAACAGGGCAATGCCTTCCAGGGCCCTCGAGAAGCAGACATGGTGGCAAGAGAGAAGCTCGCTGAATTGATCCAACTCCAGGCGGAAAGGATTTTGGCCTTAAAGGAGGAGATTGCTCTTTTGCGTAGGAAAGGCGGCCTTATCCTCCCACCCATTCAGTCTCCACAAGAGAATGAGATGTAGCCCATGGACCTCTGGGTTGGCTGTTTTCGCAAACCCATGCAAGATTTCTGACATAACTCACCCAAAGTTCTGTCTCCTTGTCACCGGCAACAATCTTATTATATTAAAGTGATTTTAAAGTATTTTGTCTGAAAGTCTAAAACCAGATCCAGTCATGTAGCTTTAAGAATCCCTCTACAATTTGGTTATCTTAGAACCGACGGCGGGACCCAACCTCTGCTGTAGGATGGAATCCTTTCAGATGTTTGGAACCCGCTGGATTGAATATGAAGTCCCAGAGAGCTGTGTCTCATCATTACAGCAAAGCGCCTGTAATGTATTTTGTTTTAGGAAAATTCGATTTGGGGGTATGCTGAATTTTTAGCCATTGGCAAGAAAAACGATCATTCAGCAATTGATGAGAACACTTTGTTTTCTTGATCCTTAGAAAATAAGCTTAGATGTGTTTAAGTGTACTCTGAGAGAATGCAGAAGAAAAAGACATTTCACCAATGATATCTTAGGATAGAAATGCGAATTTCAGTTTTGGCACGGCAGATTTCACAAAGCAGTAATTTGAGGGCTCAGGATTCGGGAAATACAAACGGACATGGCAGAGCAGTTTACCTTGGGTCAGCAGAAAGCAGGAAGACAACCAGCCCTCTTGGCTTGCCCACAGTTTTTGAAGGCTCCTCAGTTCTGAGTGGAGCAGAGGAGCGAGCTTTATAAAATGGTCAACAAGGAGGCTTTTCTCTAAAGCTTTCTGCAACTCCATCAGAATTCTAAGTTTCCCCCACAGTTTCTCATGTCCTCTGCCTTTTTCTTTCAGGTTTTACTTGGGCCATTTGCTGGGTTTGATACAGAGGAGGAGATAATGAAATAGATTTAGATGTAGAGATCATCTGTAACAATCACTTTTGATTACCATTTTAAGCTAACGTAAGAGTGTCCTTTGGGTTGGGGGTAGGTGCTCATTGAGGCTCATGGCTGCAACCATTGAAGGGTACTCTCACTGACGTTTGGAGTCCCGTTGGAAACAGCGTAGCTCGTTAGATTAAGAGCTCTGTGTTAATGGGTTACTCAGTGGAGGCTCTCCCAGGATAAGCTGGTCACTGAGAAGGGCAGGTGAAGAAGGCAACGTTGCTTAAATGTACAAGGGAACTCAGCAATGCCAAGTCCTCCTCAGCTGTGATCAGCCTGTGAATCTGCCCCAAAATTAGAAAGAGTACTTGCGTCAGAATATTCCTAGAGGTGGCCTATTGTCCTCCTAAGATTCTTTCATATTCCTCTTTAAGACGTCGGAATACCTCACTGTTGGCGTTTGTCACAAGTATTTTTAAAAGCATGCTGGTCGTAGCTCCGAGTTTCTTATTTATTGTGGTTAAAATTTACCCCCAAACTTACAAACTTTTCATCTCACCCAGGGGTGAGAGGGTTTCTGAGGTCCAGGACACGGGGGACAGCTTGGCCGGGTGTTCTGGCTCAGGGTCTCTCATGGAGTTGCAGTCACACTGGGAGCTGGGGCTGCTGCCATCTGAAGCTTGGCTGGAGCTGGAGGGGCTGCTAACAGATTCACTCCGTTGGCCGTTTGGCAGGGCCTCCGTCCCTCGCCATGTGGACCCCTTCACGGGGCTGCTCAGGCCGTGAATTCTCCCAGAGCAAGTGATCCAAGAGTGAGGGCGAGAGCAAGAGAGAATGACACAAGAGTGAGGGCGAGAGCAAGAGAGAATGACACACAAGAGCCACAGTCTTTTACGTTTTACGGCCTCAGCTCAGAAGTGACATACTGTCACTATTGTCCTGTGGGTCGCAGGCTGACCCTGTGTAATGTGGTCGGGGACTGAACAGGGTGTGAATACCAGGTTGGGGTTGCGGGGGCCTTGGTGGGGGCTGGTGGCCACAAGTAGCAGCTGCCTGGAGAGAGTGGCTGGTCTCCGAGAAAGGTCTCAAGGGGATACCATCCCCTTGGTAGTTGTAGAGGATCAGGAGAAGTTACATGATCTTCCTGGGCCTTATTTCATTCTCTGATAAATGGAGGATTGGGAGAAGCTCTGAGGTTCCTTCCCATTCTGAACTTCTCTGATTCTGATTGCAGCAAGAATGAATCGAGAGTCTACACAAGAGGTACGTCAGGATTCAATGTGTGTTCATTTCAACTGAGAGTAAAACTAATTGAGATAATTATTTATTCCCAAACGAAGCCAGACTAAGCCACTAGTTAATTCGGTAATATTCAGGGCTTCATTTTGCATGTTTGGGAATTGACAAGACAGTTAACACTCAATTACTTTATTTTGAATTGGACAGAATATGTTGATAGCTTTAGGTTCAATTCAATCTGATTCCAGGCTTACTCTTTTTTTTTTTTAATTGCACTTTAGGGTCTGGGGTACATGTGCAGATCATGCAGGATTGTTGCACAGGTACACACATGGCAATGTGGTTTGCTGCCTCCATCCCCCCCGTCACCTACATCTGGCATTTCTCCCCATGTTATCCCTCCCCAACCTCCCCATCCCCCTTCCGTTGTCCCTCCCTTGGCCCCCTGCAACAAACCCCAGTGTATGATGCTCCCCTCCCTGTGTCCATGTGTTCTCATTGTTGATCACCTGCCCATGAGTGAGAACATGAAGTATTTGATTTTCTGGTTTTGTGTCAGTTTACCGAGAATGATGGTTTCCAGTTTCATCCATGTCCCTACAAAGGACACAAACTCCTTTTTTATGGCTACATAGTATTCCATAGTGTATATACACCACATTTTCCTTGTCCAGTCTATCACCGATGGACATTTGGGTTGGTTCCAGGTCTTTGCTATTGTAAACAGTGCCGCTATGAACATGTGCATGTGTCTTCATAATAGAATGATTTGTAATTCTTTGGGTACATACCCAGTAATGGGATTGCTGGGTCAAATGAAATTTCTATTTCTAGGTCCTTGAGGAAGCGCCACACTGTCTTCCACAATGGTTGAACTAATTTGCACTCCCACCAACAGTGTAAAAGTGTTCCTGTTTCTCCACATCCTCTCCAGCATCTGTTGTCTCGATTTTTTAATGATCGCCATTCTAACTGGCGTGAGATGGTATCTCAATGTGGTTTTGATTTGCATTTCTTTAATAATCAGTGACGATGAGCATTTTTTCATATGTTTGTTGGCCTCATGTATGTCTTCTTTTGAAAAGTGTCTGTTCATATCCTTTGCCCACTTTTGGATGGGTTTTTTTCTTGTAAATCTGTTTAGTTCTTTGTAGATTCTGGATATTAGCCCTTAGATGAGTAGATTGCAAAAATTTTTTCCCATTCTTTTGGTTGCCAGTTCCCTATAATGATTGTTTCTTTGGCTGTACAGAAACTCTGGAGTTTGATTAGGTCCCATTTGTCTATTTTGGCTTTTGTTGCCAATGCTTTTGGTGTGTTAGTCATGAAGACCTTTCCTACGCCTATGTCCTGAATAGTTTTGCCTAGGTTTTCTTCTAGGGGTTTTATGGTGTTAGGTCTTATGTTTAAGTCTTTTAACTCCAGATGGATTCTTTTAGTGTAAGGTGTCAGGAAGGGGTCCAGTTTCTGCTTTCTGCACATGGCTAGCCAGTTTTCCCAACACCATTTGTTAAACAGGGAATCCTTTCCCCATTGCTTTTGTCCGGTTTGTCAAAGATCGGATAGCTGTAGATGTGTGGCGTTGCCACCAGGGCCTCTGTTCTGTTCCATTGGTCTATATCTCTGTTTTGGTACCAGTACTATGCTGTTTTTATTACTGTAACCTTGTAGTATAGTTTGAAATCAGGTAGCGTGATACCTCTGGCTTTAAATCTGTAAAGTTAGAGCATCTGAGTCTTTGGGAAGTTAAGCTTCTAACACAAGTAGACCAGCAGGGTGTGGCATGGGCGGGGCAGGTAGGGGGTGGCTGCCGGGAGGCTGTCCTGCTCCTGGCACACTTGCCAGCCTCCTGCCGTGCTCCCAGAGGAGTGGCCTCACCTCTGAGGGTGAGGCCTACAATCTGCCTACACTGAGTTACTTGTGGGTCAGTTGTTCCTATAACTTGGTTATTCTGAACTCCCATTCATAGTATCACTGATAATCTCAGCGTTGGAAGAAAAAAACCTCTGTCACAACTTTGCAGTATAGGAGTTGCTCATGCCTGCCAGTCAGCCGTCCCAGCACAGCAGGCTCCCACCCTAGGGAGGTCTGTGAGCCACGTGCTGTTTTTCTTCAGAGCTAAAACCATTCAGTGTTATGATTCCAGTGCTTTGTAGAAAGCAGATGTTTCATATATCACTCAAGTTCACCAAAATTAATTTTGACAACTACCTTAGATCATTAAGGAGAAAAAAACGAAGGAAAAAACGTAAAAGCCAGTGGGGCTAGAAGGTGAATCACAGCTCAGATTGGGCGGGGCGGCCTCTGGAGAGCAAAGCAATGGTTGAGAGCGTGTCAGGCCTGCCCACTCCAGAAGTGAGCTCTGGGCATGTCTGTCTGAAATCACAGTATCTTATCTTTTCTCGTCTCTGCTTCTCATTTCCTTTTATTTACATGTTCCTTACAGTCCTTTTTTAAAAATATGTTTTAAATACTGCACAGTATCTTATCTTTTCTCGGCTCTGCTTCTCATTTCCTTTTATTTACATGTTCCTTACCGTCCTTTTTTAAAAATATGTTTTAAATACTGCTTTCCTGAAAACCATGCTGCATTTCCCTAAGTTCTGACTTTTAGCTATTTGAAGGGAAAAGGATGCAAAAGTCTGAGGAATGGCAGGTGCTATACTAACTTTGGCCAGCAGAGGATGCACTTGCACTAAACAACAGTCAGAGTGACTCAATGCCCCTGGCTTCCCTGGGACCCCATCTGTACAATCTTCATGTTCAGAAGCCAGCGTCTGCCCCCCGCTTAACGAGATTGTCTCAAGTGGCATTTCATCTGTAACTCAATTTTACTGAAATCTAGAGAATACACCCCACCCCCCGCACCCCCCAGCTCCAAAACTCAAAAGTGTAGTAAGGTTTTCATTGTGTCATGTCCATCTAGTTCCACTTCCACACGTAGAGATTTTAAAATTTCAGCTGAAAAAGAATCTATGCTTCATCCTTTGGTTGGATGACAGTAAGTAAATGTTGATTTTAAACTAGTGAGTCAACTACTCTG